ACAAACAAAAAGGACTTTTAGCACTTATGTTAAGACTTTACAAATTGCTACATTATTATTAATGCTCTTTAAAGTTATAGCTATATATGTAATTGTATAGCTAATACAGATTTGTAGCAACATTTTATTATTTATGGCTTTTAAAAAATTATTTTTTTTAAGAATTTTGACGCATAGGTGTTTTACTAATAAGGTTATTAATAGGGATGCACGATATTATTGAAGTGGTATCGGTATCGGCCGATATTAGCGTTAAAGTTCCATATCGGACATCGGCCTTTCCATCAGAGTAACTCACTGATATAAAAGGCACTGTTTTTGTATGGCAACCCAGTGACAAGAATTCCTTCAGTGGCAGCACAACGTGATGATGTCACGCGCGCCTACCTGATCTGATCCCCGTGGAGAGGAAGAAGTCAAAATGTCGGCGGTGTGGAAGTTTTTTTTTTTTATTTGTTGATGAGGATGTCGGATTCCGATATTTCTGACGTAATCTTATCTGAGTTACAAGCTGTCATTTCTGACGTCATTGAGAAGCTAATAGCCGATAGCACTTGGGTGAGTTTTACCAGTTATTTGGGCGTCGCCTTAGCCCCGTTAGCATGATTAGTGTTACAGCACAATGGATAGACAAAAACTTTGAACTTAAAAAGTCTGTCCTTCATGCACAGGAGTGCAGAGGATCCCACACTGCAGCTAGGAACCTGGAACAAGCCTCCACAAGGGAAACAGCATCGCAGGTGACCAATGCTAATAAATAACATTTAACACTTCATTTAATATAAGTTAAAGTGCTATGCATATCATATGGCTGTTACTGAATATGTCACCAGTTCTTACAGCTGTTGCACAATTTTTGTAGCAAATAAGCCTAAATAAGAGGAATATGTTCTGACAAAGGAAAGTATATAAAATATCTATATTGGTATCGGTTACCAGCCAAATAAGTTTTAACATACCGGCATATTGGATACTGGCCGAAAATCCAATATCGTGCATCCCTAGTTATTAACCTTCACAATGAATAGAGCTTGTGATAGTAACTCCTTTTAAATGATTATTTAAAACCCTGAGTTACTTTAAAATACTTCTTAGTGTCAAAAGACCAGTAACCAACCAATTCAAAACCAAAATCTTTTTCAATATTTTTTTTTTTTTTTTAAACAACAAATATTAAATTTAAAAAATGTAAAATTCTTCAGTTTTTGCCATTTTAGAGGGAATGAACAGCCTGCAGCAACAAATGAGACACGAGAAAAGCTTCTCTCTAAAATCCAATTCTGTCTTTGGCATCTCACTAAAAGCAACATAAACTATGTTGGAAAATCTTTGTGGTTTTGAAATCATGACTTTTTAAATGGTGGTATACTCTGAAACCAGAGTCCAGCCCATGCCTGGTGGATGGCACGGAGCACCATCTAACACTGAGTACCCACCTGGTGTTTATTGGGTTTTATCTGGGAGTCAAAGCATAGCATTAAAACAATGTAATAGTCATCAAACCGTATAATAACCCTTGTGTCTTACTGAAATGGTTATTTTTATTCTGAAAAACAACTCTCTCATGAAGACTGGAATGTTTTTAAAAGAATAAAATGTACATCGATGATTGTTAGTGTACATCTGATAAAAAGTCTGTTTTATCAAACCAAGTCATTCAATGGATAAGAAGTCTTTTTGGGACATAAATTAACTTTTAGACATTCTGTCACTTTTAGCTACTGGATGTCTATGACTATTAAACAATTAGGGGTGGGTGATATGACAAAGTTAGATTGTGAAGAATTAGAAATTAATGGCAATCTGTCAAACCAAAGAGATTGTAGCTTTAGAGGTGGTGTCTTGGAGTCAGCACCCACATGGGGTCATGAAACATCGTGTTACAGAAATCAAATGAACATTAAAATGATTGCCAATAGCCTATTTGCTTTTTTGTGAAAAATAAAATAGAATTAGTGGTTATAAATGCATAATGATTAACATTTTGTTTGACAATGTTTGTATGCTTTAGCAACATGGGGAGAACCTCTTGTTCATAAAACAGCATTTCATGGGTCAAGAACAGGAAACCTTTAGAATCCATATAGCACACATCCAAGTCTTTTGTTAATGCTTTCGCTAAGTTTATTATATATGACACAAGTTGTCAAAACTGCACAAAATGATTCAAATCTGTTCATAACTCTTACTTGGCCTTAATGCTGTTTTATTTGTTTCTTTTAGGGCTTTGTTTTTATGTGGGGAAATAGACTGGGTGCACAGTTCAGCAATTTGCAAACTATTTCAGGAGAAATCTGTGTAAATTAGTGGCAAAATTGAAATTTTACAAATAGAAAAAAAAGCAAATTATATATCTTTACAATATTGCCTGGTTCTAAAATCCAACTCTTGTTAGTTGCTGGAATGGTGACTGTAAAATACAATTAATTTAAAAAAAAGGACAGTTGTGTTTGGTAGATTTAGTCTTTGTTGGAGAAATGATTCATGGTAATAAACCCCATTCCACTGAAAAGCCTACTGTACTTAGTTTCCTTTAAATGGTGTTACATTTGTTACGAATTTGCGTTAATGGGTTGAGCCCCAAAAGAAGCTGGCTAAATCTCTGTCAATGCCAAACAACTTATTTTGGTGTTATTTATTCAGTAGGATGATTTTTCTTGAGAGACAAAACTTATCTGTAATTTAACTTTATTAATTCAACAAACAGGGACCTCAGTAGCAGGTGGAAGTAACATACACAGCCACAAAATATTGTTGCAGCTTTATGCTGCAGCTTGGCCACACACTGCTGTGATGGTGTATCATTCTTCGACCAGGATTTGTTGGAGGCCAAGGTGGTTGTGTTGAACAAATCGCACACCCAGACACATCACAGAGGTGGTCAATGTGGTTAAAGTCAGGACTGCAGAGCAATTCCTCCACTGCAGTCTCTAACCAACTAGGCTCTGTCCAGTTAATTGCTGCCATCTTGGAGGACAAGAGTTATATTTCAGACTTGGGAGAAATGGAATATCTTGGCCTGTCACAATAACAAATATTGCTTGGCAATTGTCTCAGAAACTATTGCGATAAACAATAATATTGTCTGAAATTTGACAATAATTAGTTATTATTGTCAAATTTAACAAGAAATGTTTGTTAATTTGTTTTGTGTGTAGTACCATTTTCCGACCACTAAATGGAAGTATAAGACAGTTTAAACCGAAGGATGGATAGCGAGTGAGCAACGTGTCTCTTTAAGAAAAATGGGAGGGAGGACCCTTGACGTGACATGGGCTGTCTCTCCTTCCTTTATTCGGTTCTCAAAATGGCGGACGCTTTGTGTGGTTTGAGCTCTTTAGCATAGCATTTGTCACACAAAGCTTTTAATAAAAAAAACCAGTAAACAAGTTCTCAGCTTCTTTTTGCAGAGAAAAACAACTTTTTACACGAAGACACGGGTTTTAACTGTGAATTATGGAGCTTCAACAAGACGGAGGTTTGTTCCCGACGTTGGCCTGTTAGCTTAGCTCGTAGCTTAGCTTCTCAGCTTAGCTGCATTTAGTGATCCAAAAACACAATTTTGGACGGTTGAAACAGCTTTTAAAGAGAAAAGAGAAAGGGAGAGGTCAGTGAAAAGCACCGGAGTTGAGCCTTTTGTCCAGTGTCCAGTAGAAAGAGAGAGAGAGACTAAGAAATGATAAAGCCGATAAACGAAAATGAGGTTGATAATTTTCATTTATCATGCAATTAATTGATTTGTTGTTTATTGCGACAGGACTAGGAATATCCACTATTTGGTCACAGGTGCTGACAATCAGGCATGTGGAGTTCTAAAAACAAGAGTCAATAGCAGAATAAGTTGTTTGGTGTTGACAAAGATTTAACAAGTTTTTCATGGCACAATTCACATATTCAACTCTGCTCAACCCAAACCGCAATTTCCTAACAAATGTGGCACAATTTAAAGGGAAATAAGCCAGCTTTTCACTTATATAAGATTTATTGCCATACAACAAAGAAATTATCCATCAAACACAAATATGTGCTATGTTTAATAGAAACGGTCATGTTTGAAACAATATTAAACACCAAATCTGCTAAATTAGCAGATCAAAACAGTTTTTACATAAGAGGTATATAAAAAAGATCAGCATCTGTATTGCTATAACATCTAACTAATCTTTGGCACCAAAATAATTGGAAATTGTTAATTGGTAAGGGAAAAAAAAAATCCAGCTTTAGAAATTATAGGTTTTTATTCAGTGGAAGAAACAAAAATTGCCAGTGATTCCGTGCGACAGTAAAACTTGGTGAACAGTGACCATGAGACGAGGGGTAAGCCAAACATTTTTTCTGCTGGTCAAATTCAGAATTTACAAGACAAAGTTATGTTTTTCTTTGCTTCTCCCCTCAAAAAACGGACTAGCTGAGCATCATCTTTGTATTGTTAATTGGGAAGTATTGGAAATGTACTTTATACGTTTGGTGGTAAGAAATCTGAGTTTTGTCTTTTGGTCCTGAAGCCTCATAACTTCTGATCACCTCATTTGCTCCGTTGGACAAAATAGATCTGCTGTTCGGTCACATTTACTGGTGACACATTTACAGTAACTCCAGTTACCATGTCTTATTACTCACACCAGTCAAGGCACGTATAGTCTCCCTGTGAAGCACCTTTGCAGCCCTTGCTCCGCATTATAGTCAGTTTTTTTATGTTTTATAACTTTTGTCATTTTGTAGATCTTTCAATAAATAACACAAATACATTTGTACATCATACATAGATAGATAAACATGTATCAACTACATGCATTTTATATAATTTAAATAATTTATATATACAGTCCTCCCTCACACGTACACATGTTCCTTGCCTCCCCACCCCCTCTCCAAGAGTTCTTTCCATAACAGCTTGCAGCACGTTGATTTGAAATATTCTTTTAAAGGACCCAAGATTCCTTCAGGAGAAGTATCATTTGTAGCTGAACATTGCTGGTCACCACCATGACACTTAATCCTATAGCAGGGAGTTCTGTGGAAATAAAATCCCAAACAGGAAGTAGAATTCCAGGAAAGGTAGCACCCAGCAAGGCTTTGCTTACGTCCTGTGGCGTTTCCTTGACAATGCACACACACAGGATGTATCTATGCGTATCCACCTCCATCCCACTGAATTGCGAACTTGTGTTAGCGCTCGAACGTAGGTCTGCGTCGTCTTGCACTGCGAGTTCCAGTTCTTGTCATCAATTCCTCTGCAGCCCCCTTTGAAGGGCATGGTGGTCCGACAGCGCGTCTCATAAAAGTACTGTTTGATTTCCTGTGTGGCACTGGTTTTAATTTTGGCCAGAACAGTCACAGACTGCTCCTTGTGGTCCACAGCTTGGGTTTTGTCTATCACCCAGTGGCTCTCGCTGTCACAGACAGAATACTCCCCACGGTAGCTCCTGTGCTCAGCGTAACGTTTCTTTCGTGTCTTGTTTCCTGCTGCGCCTCCGTCTGGTCTGATGCTTACAAAATCATCCGCGAGATACAGTGGCGGAGGTTGCAGTGGTGGCCGGTCGCTCAGCAGCACCCGAGGTGAGTTAAATCTTTTTTGCTTCCTGAGGAGGTCCGAGTTCAGCAGCATCACCTGCTGCTCGACAGCACCGCCACTTCGAACTCCTGTTTCCCACTGCTCCTCATCACCCAGCTCCTTGAAAGGAAAGTTTTCACTCAGGAGAGGAGGAAGTGTTTCCTGCAGCTCAGAGTCCCTGCTTTTTCCCTGCTGGCTATGGTTTCCCCTGGTTCTCCCTCTCGTTAGGTCAGCCTGAAGGAGCTGGATTATGAGAGAGTTTAACGGGTCAGGACTTGGCTGCTGCTGATGCTGTTGCCCGTGTCGACTGCTGCCCATGTTGGTTGCCTGGATACCATAGAGGTAAACAAGGACCATCACATACAGCAGGATGGACATCACTAGATTCACCTGCAAAATCTGCAAACACAAAGGGAGACATGGTTAGATGTGGTTCTTCCAATAGTTTATGCTCTTTAAGAAAATAACAATTTTCTACCAAAATGATGTCAATTCAATTAAATTCAATTCAGTTTATTTATATAGCGCCAAATCACAACAAAGTTGTCTCAGGGCACTTTACAGGAACATTCACATATACAGTATTAAAGCCAATTAGTAAAGTTCTCTATCTAAGGAATCCAGCAGACAAGTTGAATCTTGGCTTCGTTGCAGTCTCCCATCCTGAGCAAGCACAGTGGCAACAGTGGAAAGGAAAAACTCCCTTTTAAAAGGAAGAAACCTCCAGCAGAACCAGGCTCAGGACAAGCTTCTGCTTTGACCGGCTGGTCATTAATGTCAATGAATGAGATGAGATGAAAGAAGATTATGTTTGATGTTTTCTTGAAAACAAATATTAGAGGGACTTCTTGGGTTAAGGGATTTGGAGACAAACTAAGGCTCTGTTCACACTTCAGGTCTTAATGCTCATATGCTTTTTTTTTTTTGGCGTGGTTCAAATTATTATTAAGATGCAACTTTCTTTAGACTCCGGTGTGAAACGTTGACAGTTCTGTGAAGATCCGCAAGTGCAGAAGAAAACGTAATGTCACACGTCACGTTTTCTTCTGCACAAGCAGTGAGCTGTGTTTAACAATGTAAACATGGATGCTACACATGTTAGCATGTTTGATTCTGATTTTGTTTTACAATCAGAACTGATGAAATTATTATCTGACATAGCTGAAGCCATGTGGAGTTCCAAGATTTAAACTGCATGAGTTTGGTATCATTATTAATAATACTTGGATCCATCTGCTCATCCCTACCTCACTGACTTACTGTATGTTAATGTGAGGGATGCACACAGAGTTACACCTCTCCCCTCTATAGGGAAGTCTGATCGCAACCTTGTCCACCTACAACCAAAACACACACACACCTCGTCCAAAGGCAGCCATTCCATCAGAAGGTGGTTCCCTGAAATGGAAAGTACCCTGAGAAGCAGCTACACCATCACAGTCTGGGACTCGCTGATCAACCATAACTGTGAGGGAATAGAGGGGATGACACATTGTCTGACAGATATCTTAACTTCTGTGCAGATGTGGTCTCCCCTGCTAAGACTGTAAGCTGTTACCCTTAAAACGCCCCATGGGAAATGTATGAAGTCAAGGCTGTCTGTCCTCAACAAGAGAGAGTAAGAGAGACAAGGAGGAGATGAAGGCAAACACAGCAGAAGGTGAAACACTCCATGAGGGAAGCAAAGAACAGTTACAAGAGAAAGATGGAGAAGAAACTAAGGAGAACAATATGAGGAAGGTCAAGAAAGGTGTAAAAACCATCACAGGACACAACACAGATGAAAGACTCGGGGAGGGGCAATGGAGAAGGTGAATGAGCTAAACATCTTCAACAGGTTTAACAAACTCATCCCTCCCACCCTCACTGCAGCCACCTCTCCTTCCTCCCTCAACACACCTCACCTCAGACATTGCATCAGCTTCCTCCTCTTCACCCTGCCTAATGCACCCTCCTCATCAATGAGAATCTTTTCAGAGGACAGCTGAGGAAGCTTCATCCCAGGAAAGCAGCAAGCCCAGACAAGTTGTGTCCCCGACTACTGAAGACCTGTGCTGATGAACCGGGAGAACCACTACAACAAATGTTCAACCTTAGCCTGCAGCTAGGGAGATTGAGCACCCTCTTGAAGATGTCCTACATCATTCTAGTTCCTAAGAAGAACCAGCCCAGCAAGCTGAATGGCATCTAACCCGTGGCACTCGCTTCACACCTGATGAAGACATTGGAGTGGCTCTTCCTCAGCCTCCTCAGACCGCAGGAACAACACACTCGGGACAATCTGCAGTTTGCATATTGGGCAGGTGTTGGTGTGGGGGATGCCATCCTTCACTTGCTACAACTTGCTACACCGAGCCCACTCACATCTGGATAAGGGAAGTGGCACAGTGAGGGTTATCTTCCTGGACTTCTCCAGTGTTTTTTTTTATATATATATATATATATATATACTATACAGCCCCTTAAGCTTTAGGACAAACTGAATAGGATGCGAGTGGACCTCTGCCTGGTTGCTTGGATCTGTAGCTACCTCACCGACAGGCCCCAGTACATCAGACTGAAGGACACTGTGTCTGACACTGTGATCAGCAGCACCGGAGCACCCCAGGGCATGGTGCTGGCCCCTCTTCTCTTCACCCAGTAAACCTCTCACTTCTGCTACAACTCTAATCCAGAAGTTTGCAGATGGTGCAGCTATTGTTAGATGCATCAGGGACGACAGAGAGAACTATAGGAGTCTGGTGAGGGACTTTGCTGTTCGGTGCCATAGAAACCATCTGTAGCTCAACGCTTCAAAGACAAAGGAGCTAGTTATTTATATTGGAAAGTCCAAAGCAAGGCCAAGACCAGACCATTAATCAGAATAAATGGGGCTGAGGTGGAGGCTGTAGACCTACAAGCTGGGTTGTAGCTAGATAGCAAACTGGACAGAACAACACACGCCAACCATCTGTACAGGAAGGGTTAGAGAAGGCTGTACTTCCTGAGGCAGGTGTGGCTTTTAAATAGCTGCAGTAAACTCCTGTGGATGAGCTACCAGTCTGTGAATGCCGGTATTATTTTGTACACCTGGGCATGCTGGGGGGTTTAGGGTTAGGGTTAAGGTACCAGTATACTCGTGCGTCCTGTCAGTCGCGCAGAAACTGTGCGCACTGTCTGCAGAGGGTTGAGACTCAAATGTCCACACTGAGCGGCTGAGGTCAGCTCCACAGACAAGGGGCGTTTACCTTCGGGACAAATTGAGGTCGCCGACTGGTCATTTGCTGACACGCCCACTGGATTGATTGACAGGTCGCAAAAAAAATAATAATAATAACGAGCTGGCAGCTCCAGCCTCAGCGGTGTTCTGTGTTTATATATTGTTAATAAAAAGTTCTAAAAAAAAAAAAACAGGGATCACTGGTCCAGCAGCCCACACATCAGACCAGCCCACCGGGAAATCTCCAGACGCTCCCGCAGCCACGCTGCACCTGATTTTAATTTTCTTGTGGCAAATTCCTTCATTTCTCACCATTTTAGTCATTGTGTAAACGGAGGAGGAAGCGATTGCTTGCCTCTTGGAAAAAAAAAACAAAAGAAAAGGCCAGATCATGGATGAAGAATGAGAATTTAATACATTGGTGTCACATACAAAACAGTCCGTTGCCGGGCAGTTTATTGTGCGACACAGAGTACGCATACGTGGTCTTAAAAATTGAGCTTTGCACAGACCTTTCCTGCAGGCGTCTGCTCCGGCTCTAATCCGGTACGCGCGGACCTCTGCGGACTGACATATGCCCGACTATACTGGAGGCTTTAGGGTTTGCTTTTTATTTTCATAATTTATTTATACTTGCTGTCACTTTCTTTCTTTGTTTTCTCTCTCTCTCTCTCTCTCTCACCTGTACGATGCTGCTGTAATTTTACTTTCCCTGAAGGAATCTTTCCAAGGGATCAATAAAGATTTATCTAATTTATTCTAATCTCATCTGACATAGAAGTCAGATGAAATAAGACATGACCATTTGGACTGCAGCCACTTTGAAAAACATTGGATATGTATCTGGTTCAGTACCATACATGAAAAAGACCTGAGTCAGGTTTGTCACGTTCAGACTAGCGAAAAAAAAAAACTGATATAGGCCACATTTATTTATTTATTTATTGCAATATGTTATTAATGTTATCTTTCCAAAATTGCACCAGTTTTTATTAGAACATTTTGATGTCACAGGCACTTCAATAGTGCAAGTACAAATTATCCTTACATATGGATTAATGACATCTCCATACATCATTTAAGAGACCCCACTGAGCCAAGAAAGTACCTTTTCAAGTGCAGGAGACCGGATAAATGTAAAAAGATACAGTATAAGAACTACAAAAGGCCACAGTACCTGCAGTATAAAAACAAGTTAAAGACTAAAGGACCTTTGATTATAGAGGTTGTGGTCCTCCGTGGTCTAAAAGTGCCTTTAGTGTGGAAATAGGCAAATGTAACTTGTACCATAAAAGCACTTAGTCGGTAAGACTAAAGATGGCACTATATAAATGTATTCAGTTTACTTTTCATAGCATTAAAGGTATATAAATAAAGATATATGAATATGATATATTTGTGGTAACTTTGAGCTGTATGTCCTTAAAACATAAATATGAGGCACACAACAAGGGGTATGTCTCTTGGAATAAGCAGGAATTCGTTATGGGAAATCACATGTTGTGACTTGTACAACATACCTTGCTTTTATGAAGGATTCATAATTGGAAAAGAGACTGTTTGACATTTTGCTTGCTGCTCAAAAACAGGTTGTTGACATTGCTGGTCTGACTGTCTTAACCAAATAAAAAAGGTTACTTTTAACTTTACTACTTGTAAATTACTTCTTTTTTTTTTTTTTTTTTTTTACCAAAAAATGTTGTATTGTGTGCCAAGAGCAAAATGACTTTAACATTATAAATACATTAGAAATACAATAGCTGATATATTTTCTCCTGATTAAAGTAAATAGTCAAACTTGATATTAAATGTCAAAATAAACAAAAAATGTGTTTAATAAAAAAACAAGTTTGTTTTCATTAGAAGCAAATAAATCATGCAAATCATTATTATTATTTTTAGTAGTGTGAAATTGAATGGTAATTTTACTCAATGTTATCACACCATCAGTGTCTGCAGCAAATTCTGTTCAATACTTTGTTGAAAATGTCCATCACATTTTTCATATACAAACTCGGCTAGGTTTTGAGGATACAGTGCAAAATTTTGTTGAACGCTTTTTCACTTATAGTTTAAGAAAAAAATGCACATCTGTTAACTGAATATAAAACTACAGCCAGCAGCTTGTTAGCATAGCATGGTATAAAACGTCCCTGCAAGGTTCAGACTTAACTAGGATCTGTCCAAAAGTAACAAAAAC